TATTTTTGAAGGAAGTCTCCTTTTTGGGTTTTTTTTTTTTTTTTTTTTGTTAAAAAAAAAAAAAAAAAAAAAAAAAAAACTTAAAGGAAATGTTTTCTCGATACTCTGAAATAAAGAAACACTAATAATTTAGTCATTAATGTAATTATTATTGCTTCTTAACAACCAAGTTAAAACTAACGAGGAACGAGGAGAACGTAGATAAAACATTCATCTTGATTTTATTAAAAGGTAATAAAGCCTTTTAAAAGCATTGTCCTTCTCCCGTGATAAAACTTTGATCTTATTCCTCAAACTAAAAACTAAATTATTTGTCTTAAAGAAATCAGGATTACAATTTCTGTCATTTACTACGCACTTACAAATAATTTGTAACCAGTGTCAGACATCCTGTGTCTCCGTGGTTTTTCTGCAAATTGATGTGAAATTTTTTTTGGGTGTATAACTGGAAACAGAACAAAAGACCAGTTTAGAAAATGGAAGTCTTCTTTAAATGCTTCACATTTTGTCTTGTTAGAATCTCAAACTTTAATATGCTTTACTGAGATTTTGTGTGACGAACCAATGCAAAGTAATGAATTTACTTGTTACTTGTTAGTACATTTCTTAATTTTCTGCATTTTACTTATGCGTATTAGAGTGATGGGGGTGTTGAATAAAGTAGTATAGACTTTAAAAATAATCAATAATCCATCCATTTCAGAATTATACACCAATTTTTGTTGGTAAATTACCTAAGTAATTAAATTAATTACAGTTAATGGTTGTAATATGTCAGGAGCTGAGTATTTATTTTCTAGATAAAAATGGTCTTTTAAAAAAAAAAATAAAAATGTGCAAAGCAAAAAATAATTCATCATATAGCTGTACCACTGCAAACATCTTAATCTCAACAAGCCCTTATGGCCAATATGGAAAATACCAGAAACGTGTATCAGCAGAGGAATTTTGATTAAATCAATTATTTTTTATAATGGGATTTGTAGATATACTCTAATCAACAGTTATTTAAATATTTTAGTGTCACATCTTTACTGGATGTGTCAATAAAGTTGGTGTCTAAAGCATTAAAAGTTTTCAAATACAATCCCAATATGAAGATACTTTGAGAATATTGTACTGTGTAGAGGATGAATATCTTCTTCAGGATATCATCAACTTTAACTTGAACCTAAGCTCTAAAATCAGTTTCTTCCATGGAGCAGATGATAGCTGGAAGGAAAAAGCAGTGGTTGAAAGTTTGTCGAGACGGGCGACCGTCTACGCTTCGTTGAGGTTGAGAGAACCGGAAGGCAGAAATGGCAATTGCCTACATACACGGAAAGTGAAGAGAGCGAAGAGGTGATCGATACATCACGGGACGTCCCCCATTAACCTAAACCAGTGTAACTACAAGGACATCTCAGGGTCTTCCATTAAAATAGGGAAGGTGATTACACACCCAACAAAAACTGGAAGCTGGTTCTTATATGACAACAGGAATTCAATATGTGTAGAAGTCATTATTTTACTGTGAGAGACTCTAGTGATCTGCAGTCTAAGAATAAAGGTCTTTGTTGGGATAATGTAGAACCTTGGGATCTTCAAAATATGACAGTTTGGTCATAAGAAGCTTTAAATGTTAGAAAACAAATTAAAACTTATATTTGATTAATTACTTCAGAAATATAATCTCACCTGTCAAATCTCCTCAAAAGTCTTGTCTCCATGACCTACTTAGCAGAAGAAGTTTAAGCTGGATTTGGTGTGCTAGCTAATAACCACAATGTCTACTGTCGGCCCGTCACTTCCTGTCGTCTCTCTGAAAAGATTTCACCACGCATTGTGGTTGAAAAAAAAAAGCGACGTAGCAACTCCCCTCATGAAATACCCTGAAATATTTCTACACCACAATCGGCGTGTGCTCAAAGCACACCTGACTGCTTTCTTCTCAACTGGTTCGCTGAGAAGAAAACTCAAAAGGTTGGAACGTAAAGGGGTATTGGGAACGCATTAATGCCCCTTTAACTTTCTTATCATATTGTCACTTTCCTAACACAAACGTCAGTGTTTTATATTCTTATTTTATGTTTTTCTAAATGAAAACCCGGAGTTTTCATGATGGAGTGCAATAAGTTGTATCAGGTGTAATTCAAGCTCAAAGCCCGAACCAATGAAAGTAAGGAACAGATGGGAAACGGGCTGGAGAGAGGTACAAAGATTTTTCTAAGGACAGCAGGGAACCAGAGTGACAGCCATTATTCTAAACTACAGAAAACAAGGAGAGAGTTTGGTTTTCAACAACATCCGAAGATCTGCAGGCCCGTGTTTATGAATAGCAAGACATTTGACAGAAATTATATCTTTTCATGTTACCAACATGTTTTGCTTGCTTTGGAGTGGCCCACCCAGTCCAAAGAAACTTTTATTACTGCATATTAGCATCTTTTTGTTCAAATTGACCTTTGTTTTTCTTTCCTTGACATTGAAGTTCACCGTGGGCGGAAGCAAACCATTAACATGAGTAGTAACAGGTGGGGAAGATGCAAGCCACCGTGCATCTGCACACGCTGCACAGACATGCAAATGCTGAAGCATAAATGTATTCACACATACAGGCACATAAATGCCTGTATACCAGAAACTGAGACGATGCGACGTTCTCGGTTTCAAAGAACTCGCCTGAAACCCACGGCACATCACCCTCTCCACCCATTTCTTTCTTTCTTTTTTTTTTTTTTAAACCCTCGCGCTTTTCCCCTTTTGAGAAATGTTGACCACATGACCGCAGGTTTTTTTTTGTTTTTTTTTTGCAGGTAAGGTTTTGTCATGGAACCTGTACTTCTGCAAATACACACACATGTGAGGTGCAACGCAATAAAAAGGGACTCTGAGTGGAGCAGACACACACAGACAACTCAGCCGGACCTGCAAGCACGCCTGAGAGACACCAGACGACAGACAACATGGTGATGATGAAGAACTCCGTAATCATGGCGACCTGCCTCCTGCTTCTCTCATCCCTCGCTCTTCAGACTTATGCCAGTAAGATCACCAATTTTTTAAAAATGAATTCTGTCATCATTTGTGAACATCTTTGCAAAAACGAGAGAACTTAATCTACATCCCAGCTGAATATATTTTTCTGGCACCACTTTTCCAGGTGGAATTATTGTTCTGGGTTTCATTTTTGCATGCAAAGTAAATTTTTATTTACACCAACCTTTTTTTAGATTCCTTCGGCCCGGACGAATGCTGCTTCAAGTTCTTTCCGAAACGGCTGCAAAAGTCAGCGGTGGCGAACTTCAGATACACGGACTCTCTTTGTCCCATGGAGGGTGTGCTGTAAGTATTTTTAGATGCTAGAAAACACTTCTAAATTTAAATCCAAATAGTTTATCACTACTTTTTTATGCGTCTAATGAAAAATAAATGCATGTTTTCAGCATTCACATGGCTTTCGACGAACAATGAGAAACTAATCAGCCTCTTTCCTCGTCTCTGTTGCAGTTTTTTGATGAAGGGTGGCAGAGAGGTCTGTGTCGACGCAACTCAGCAGTGGGTGAAGAAAATCATCAAGACCAAGGAGATTAACCAGGCCAAAGGAGCGACCAACTCCACCACCACACCGTCCCAGTAACCCTCAAACGACCTCTCAATGTTCACTGAGCCAAGTCAAAGTGCTGGTGGAAATATTTATCTCAAGCTCTCTCTGCCTGTACACTGACAATCCTATTATTATCTATATCTATATATTTTTCAATAAATGCAAAAATTCCTGAGATGACTTGTGTTTTTGATTTTGTTGTGTTAATTCACTGGCTTCATTTCTGTCAAACTGACTGCGAAGTTGCATTTTTTTAAAAAAGGAATTAGGAACTGACAAGCAACGAAAAGCAAACAATCTATTTTTCTAAACTGGTTTTAATGGCAAAACGACTGAAATTATCTTAAATCAACAAACCAAAAGGTTATGAATGTCATCCGCTTCAATTAATTTGAGTTCAAGTTCACTTATATGTTTCTGATTTACAACAAATGTCTCGTCAAGAACTTCGTGAGACATTCAGGAGCAATTCATGCCCATTTGTGCTAAAATTAATCCTGTAAAATGCACCACATCGCAATTAATTGCACACTTTTCAGTTCTATCTACTGATTAACACTGCTCAGTTAAATTCAGTGCTTATAACCAATTGGAAAAAGTTATCTCCAATACCATCTGACCTCGTGGAAGATTAACCCCTCCAGAACCAAACTGTAATCCTTCTTTAATAACAAATACACCAATATACATGAGATGTGTAATTCGTTTTATGTTCAGAAAGAGAGAAACTCTACCTTGTTCTGATTCACACCATAGAGCATCAAAGTTCCTGTGGTTTCTGGTTGATGAAACCAGAGGAAGTTGTTATCTAAACCACAAAGATTTGACCCAAAAACTGTTTTTTTTTTCTCTTTTTCTTTTCTTTTTTTTTAAATCATGAGAATTCAAAACCAAACAGGTTGGGTTCTTTGGGAAAACGTGCATGAGTGAATATTATGCAGTTCTCGGTGTTTTATATTATCCTTGTGAGCCATCGTCACTTTTAGCAACTCTCCGTGTGCTTGCAGCATCTTTCCAGCAGGGGTCGCTCTTTCGTCTTGTACTGAAACGTTTCAAATCAGTCGCCACAGAGCACGTTAATATTGATCAGAGTGGACAGCGTCGTAATTAGATTTGCTTAAAATCTCATTTCCAAGCGCACTGCCATCAGCAGAAGCTCAGTAGGGTCATTTTATGAGCATTCTTACCAGACAGGACTGTAATAAAACACATGTGCACAGTCAGTGCTGCATGCAGCTCACTGCTAACAATTATTCTAATTTCATTTAAAAATACAAAACTTACCCATTTCAGATATAATTTAGTTTGATTTATTCAATAAACTGAAGATAAATAAATAAGAAAAAAGAATCTCCTTTAATCCCTAGACATGAGCACAGCGGGCGTCAACTGATCGTGGACCCAGATTTTTATTTTTATGCTACACTGATTCCTCCATGCAAGCAATGGAAAGACGCTTTACTGGCTCCACATGTGACCTATCAGAGGAGATGCTCTGATTAGACTTTGGAGGACCTGCTGCATGGATTTACATAATAATTAGATTGAAAACAACAGAGACTTGAGTGCCTCTTGTTTGCAGTTGTGATGATTCTTTTCTACACGCAAAGAGAACGAAATAAATGCATGACATTTTAGGAAGGATGCTCACAAGCCTTATATTGCTGCCAAATCTAACCTAACTCATGTTCCAATGGATTTATTTAGTTCAGAAAGCTGCATTGTGAAGATTTCTGAGAGGTGTCCTATTAAATTTACATAAAACCGAGCAGCTCAGTGACGGCATGACCTACCTGTGGCAGAAGGAAATTAGGACAAGCAGAAGCGGACTGCCTGAGGTTTTTATTTTCCTTTCACAGCCATTGTTGTTGGTCGGGTAAATGTCAGCAGAGTAAGAACAAATCTGTGTAAAATGGTCCCCAAACATGTTACTTACTCAGGAAATATTTAGTGGTTAAAGTAACTTAAGTGGGAATTTCCACTTGCTTTTCAATTCAGTTTAGCCATTAGGAAATCCAGCATTTTGTAAGTTAATACAGGCAAACCCACAGGCAAAATAGTTTTTGAAATTGTATTTTCTTTTATTTGTCATTTAGTGACAGAAATTACTTCAGCTGATAATGTTAATGCTTGAAATACTAAAGTCAGTTGATGAAAATAAATGTTTTTTGCTTTTTCTAACACGTGTTAATATCCCACTGTGGTGTGAACTCTAGAAATTGCAGCTTAAATAAACAAATCTACTAATAAAATAATGCGCTTCTTATTGATCACAAGTTTTCAATGTCTAACTTTTCTTTTCTTTTTTTTTTTTACTTTTTGTCTCATTCCACCCATAAACTTCATTGTATTGTATTGGTATTTTATCTGATCTGAATGGGAAGGCAATAATTAATAATTTTCAAAGGACAAAGCAGACAAAGTAAAAAGCTTTGGACACAATGTCTAAGTTTAGTCATTCAAAAATGAAAAAAGTGTTGCTCAACTTCTTTAACTTATTGGTCAAATGGAGCATTAATTACAGAAGCAGCCAAGAGGTAACTCTGGAAGAGCTGGAGGGATCTACAGCTCAGACGGGGAAATCTGTCCACAGAACGACTTAGTTTGAAGAAAAGGTATTGCTGAAAAAGGTTTGGCACAAGCCATGTAGGTCACAGAGCAAATGGAAGAATGTGCTCTGGTCAGGCGAGACTAAAACTCAACATTTTCACAAACATGCAAAACACTTCATGTGGCTAAAAAGCTAACCGTACACATCATCTCCACAGTGAAATACGGCGACTGCAGCATCATTCTTCAACAGGATCATGAAACAATAATCAAGCTGCCTGTTTTTCAGCAAGACAACACAGTAATCACATTGCAATGCTTCTTTTACTTTGCAGAAAAAAAAAAAACATTCATCAGGTCAAATTTACTGTTGCAAAGTTAAATTTTATTGCTTATTTCATTTGACAGAAGTCAAACGACTTAGTAATTCAGCAACTTGAACTGAGAAAAATGCACATATTTCATATGTGCCTTTGCTGAAGGTTTGTGCCGCTTCATCGTTCGAGTAAAAGAATGAACGTTCATTATAGCAGAAGCAGAAAGAAGACCAATCTCCTGTATTGCCCTCGAGGAGGGAATTCGTGTGGTGCTGTGGGCAAGTAGAAGACATAAAGGAGGCAAGAAAACAGCAAGTCAAACCATAAGACACAGTCAAAAAGGGTAAAAGGGGGAGTTTGTGACGGCTACAGTTTCTGAGGCGCACACATGTAAAAATAACCAGAACGTGATGTCAGCTTTTCCTGACAGATGGGATCAACATAAATTAGGTCTCATGTGAACCAAACAGGGGATGGGGAGGAGTTTGTCTGTGAGATCTCAGCAGTAAAAGGAGGAAGTCAGAAGAGATAGCAGAAACAGACACACACACACACACATATATATGCATGGACTCTCAATTAACTGCTTGTTATGATGCTTGCAAGGTAATTACACTGTAAATCACGGTGGTCACATCTTGGTTTCACAAATATTATGAGCAGAACTTTAATGTAGCAATTATTGTTTGACTTTCTCCAGCCCGTCCCCGTAATAATAAGCCCAGGAAGCCTTTAGCTGGGCAATCGAACAGTCTGAGTCCAGATAGTTTAGAGCCCTGTGCTTATTTGCATAACAACGGAGCGAAACCTCTTTGTGTTCCATATTTTATAGCGATTAAGCAAAATTAAGAGTGGGATTCAAAGTGAAATTATAGGAGAGAGAAAGAGAAACAGAGAGAGAGAGAGAAAGAGAAGGGATAACCAAAAACTCAAGATTGATATCTTCTGTATAATTACCTACAGCTTGGTGGTTGCTTGGAAACCAAACAGAGAGAGGGGGGGG